CTTACAGTTTGTGGAGGTTTCAGTCCATACTTGGCTGGCTCCGAGGCAGAAGACAGCAAAGCAACAAGAGCAAAGAGGAGAATGGCAGCCGAACAGCAATGCAGCCAGAGCAAAAGGGAGGAATGGCGGCAAGCAGCTTCTTTCCCTGCCTGCCAGTGTAAACAGGCTACCCCCACCCAAGGGGCGTGTAGCTCTCACATAATCTCCATGCCCTCGTCTTCCACAGGCTCAGGATGTATACAAAGTAAGCACCCTGGCTTCCTGCTGAGTCACTTAGCCAAACCTCTAGACTCCCCAAGTTGACACAATGTATCAACCATAACACATGCTTTAGAAGTTTTTGAATTCTCCAATGTTGCTTATTGCTGTGATTATCTTAAATTGGAGTGAGCCCCAAGGTTCTCAATAAGAGTTCTCAAAATGTGAACTGATTTACTTAACTCTTATGATTTAAAAACAAAAAACTATTTAAAAATCTATATTACTACTTCTGCTTTCACATAAGAATACTGGAATATTAAAAAGCTATAACCCTGCAGGTGTAATCCATACTCTTCAAAAGGGTGACTTTGCTTCCCTTTCACAATAATGACACAATCAGTGTTTTTAATGCAAACATCTATGTACAACGTACTATCCTCATGACTTTTCTGCTTTTTTGTGCATTACAATACTTCTTATGAAATGAGTTTAAACTAGACATAGTATTTGTATTTAAGCCAGAAGAAAGATCTGGATGATAGAAATTGAGGGCCTTGGTATTTAACCGTGAGGTCTCTCTCCCCAGCCTTTCTTTAAAGAACTTACCTCTCTGCAGAGGCATGACAAGAACAGGAGGAACAGACCTCACCACTTCAAACAATTCTTACACATGAATTAGGTACTCCTGGCTCACTGTTCTACCTGTGATGCCAAGGTCAAAGGCTCCCAGCTGCAGCCAGCTCTTCGAGGGCTTCTGTAATGCTGCCACCTGCTCCCCTAGGGATAGCTAAATCTTCCAGTGGCACCCTTAGTCCAAAGAAAGAAAGGGATCTATGGATAAATGCTTCCCTCGTTTGTTTTGTTGTTGTTGTTGTTGTTGTTGTTGTTGTTGTTGGTCTTTTTGACACAGGATCTCACTATGCAGTTCAGGCTGGCCTTGAGCTCACTTGGTAGCCCAGGCTGGTCTCGAACTCCCAAAGATCCTCCTGCCTCAGCCTTCTGAGTGCTAGGATTACAGGTATTTGCCACCACGCCCAGCCTAAATGCCTCCCTCTTTCTTCTCTTGAGTGATTAGTTTTGAGGCATATTTAATATAATTCTCAAAAGATTTTTTTTTAAGTAATTGGTCATGGTAGGAATAACAACATTATAGGGGTAATGCTTTCTTGGATTGGTTTTCTTTCTTTCCCTTTTCACTCTGACCCTCATTCCATTTTCTCAAGAAATACATTACATCAACTAACCACATACAACCCTTGTCTCAGGTTCCACTTATGAAGGAATAGAACACAACAGTTTTTCTCCGTCTAGCACTCTCCTTTAGCCTTATAGAGTAGCTATTCATTTGGCAGTCCTAATGACTGTTACAGGTCTTACTAAAGCTATCTGTCAAAGTAATATCAGCTATTTTTTCCCAATTCATTCATCTTATTTTTAAGAAAGCTTTCTTAGTAGATTATCATTCATGATCATTGTTCATTTTTCTTGTATTTCTTTGTTTTCTGTTTCATGTATCTCTCAAACTGAAACACATACCTACAAACTGAATAAATAGCACAAAAGAGATCTGAGTAATGCCTACTCCGGTGGGTTGTCTTTGCAGGGACATTGTGCGTATAAATCCATGAAAATCCACCAGGACCCAGGGAATTATCACTAAGGGACTGTGTGCAGACCGCACTAGGAGGAAGAGCAGCAGGGACAGCACTGTAGGGCTTTTCTCTGCTAACCTTACTCGACTACTCTTCACTTGACTGGTCCTCTTGGGGTGGAGCGGCATCTGGAACCAGCCTGTTTTTGTCGCTTCTTTCTTTTTTCTTCCTTCTTCCTTCCCTCTCTTCACTTTCTTCTCCTTCCTCCTTCCTTTCTTCCTTCCCTCCTCTCGTTCTTCTGTTAAATTCCCTTTGATAGGAACATTCACAACACATTTTTAAAGTAAAACTTTCAGATTCATGTTTTTTAAAGGCATCCATGTAAGCTCTAGGATTTTAAATGCAATAGTAAGAAAGGGAGGAAATGAAACATGAAGAAAACCCTCCACTGCAGAGGTGACAGTTTAGTAATAGTTAATTAACTGTAATAGGACAGCTAACAAAACATCTTTTTAAATTATATTTTTAACTGACACATAAGAATTGTACTTGTTAATGGGCACAGTGTGATAAACTGATGCATGTACATAATATGTAATGCTTGTCTACCTCTTTAAATATTTATGATTTCCTTATGTTGGGAATCTTTAAGTTTTTCTCTTAGAGTTACTTATAAAGTAAATTATGGTAAATAATAGTCACTCTACTGTGCTGTAGGACACTAGAACTTATTCCCCCTCTGCAATTGTCCTTTCTTCATCTCTCTTCTCTCTTTTATTTCTAGCATCTGACTGCTCACAGGTTTTCTTTTCACAATAACTCAGGCTTGTCCTGACTCAAGGCCTCTACTCTGATCTCTTCCTTAGTTGGTCCAGCAGTCATTACACCATGATGGCTCCATATGCCCCTTTTTTTTTGTTTTTTGTTTTTTTTTTTTTGTCTTTTTGAGACAGGATCTTACTATGCAGTTCAGGCTGGCCTTGAGCTCACTTTGGAGCCCAGGCTGGTCTTGAACTCACAGTGATCCTCCTGCCTTAGCCTCCCGAGTGCTGGGATTACAGGTGTGCGCCACCACGCCCGGCTCCATATGCCCCTTTCAACTTCCACTTCTGCTGGGCTCATGACCTTAATTCATTATTTTCCCACCAGATCTGAGAAAAAGGTGGTGATGATGGGGAGACAGAGTGTGTATTTGCATGGTCTGTTTCATCTTTTTGTGCCATGTCACGTCATAAATTCCCCAGTAGGCCCCTAAGTAAGCCCTCTCCATTTTAATTTTATTTTTATTTATTTACTCTGTGGTATGGGGGATTGATCCCAGGGCCTCATACATGCTAGGCAAGTGTTCTAGCACTGAGCTACATTCCTCACCCAATAAGCACTCCTTAACAAGGCTAGAAAACCCATGCTGTTTTATTTGTAATTCTCATCTTGACCCCAAAGAATTTAGAAAATATATAAAATTATTATGGGCATCCTGTAGCATTTTTATTATGATAAAATATAAAATTTACCATTTTGACCATTTTAACTGCACAGTTCAATGACAGTAAGTTCATTCACATTATTATCCAATCATGACCAGTATTGAGCTTAAGAACTTTTTTATTGTGCCAAATTGAAATCTTGCACCTGCTGAATAATAAGTCCCTATTTTCCCCATCCATAGTGTTTTTCTGAGTTTACTACCTCTAGGTGACAGTAGTCAACCATTAACCTTCTTTTGATGTCCAGAATATTCTCCCTTTAGTATCTAAAAGCTGGGAATACAGTGAAACACCGTCAGCTGTATTGGGTTGCGGTATAAGTTTCTCATTAGACGAGTAGGTAGGCCTCTCACGCAAAAATATCTAAGCTGAAGAGTCATAGGCTGAGAAAGAAAAAGGAAGTAAATCGGCATTATGATTTTTATTTTTCAAATAAAGATACTGACATCCAGAAAATTTAAATAATTTGCTGCTTGTCATACTGCCACAGTGCCCAAGTCCAAACGAGGGAGCTGTTTTTTCCTCATTCCAAGCAGTCCTGCCTTTTTTCCCCTGCCATTCAGGAGACCATATTTTCAAATATTAGGTGACTATCCTGGGTTAGGTTTCAAGGGATTTCAGATTTTAAAAATAGGTTTTGCTCTTAAGCAGTGCAAAGAGGGCTTGGAGAGCTACCATTTGCCCACTAGTGGATCTGGGCAATGTCTGAACTGTTATTTTCTCACCTCCTCAGACCTCAGCAGAAAGAATCATGCTAGGAGGTAACCCAGGGAAAAGACAGATTTTGATGAGATAGGTTTAATGATGGGGCAAAGTAGAAAATGAAGAAACAGGGACAGTCTTTAATCCATGGCATGTAAAACGAAATAATGTATTTATGTAAAAGCCAGAACTTTGAGGACGCTTAAAAAAAATTAAGGGTACAGACAGATTTTGAGGAAAATGTGTATTCAGTTTTCAAAATCGTTTTGGTCTGCTGTGCCCAGTGGCCGATTTTTAAAAATCACAGGCTTGATGAAGCTGTTTCTTGCCAAACAGGCTACGGGGAGGTGCTCGGGCAACTGTCTGTCTTATTTTTTCTAAGCATGAGTTTGGCTTAGCACGTGCTCGCCCTTGTAGGAAATGGTCGGCCCTGTAAGCCCTTACATAACCTTTCTTCTCAAAGCAAATTTTGTCTCCACCTTCTCACATCTTGGCTGTTACAACATGGAGTTAGAGCCATAGCCTCCACGAAGAGCTCTTACTTGAACCCACCCCATGCGATTTCATCATCCTACTACATGCAGGATTTAGTTTCCTATAGCTCTCACTTAAAAATACAAGGATAGCAGAGCATAATGCTTAAGACATCAGAATCGAATCCAGCTCTTACTAGGCCAATTTTTTCATCTATCTCAGCCTCTATTTCTTTACCTGAAAATGCGTATAATAGTAACCTCCAGGGCTGGGGATTTAGCTCAGTGGCACAGCGCCTGCCTGGCAAGTGTGAGGTCATGAGTTCTATTCCCGGTACTAGGGGAAAAAAAAGTAACCTCCAAAGTCAGTGCTTATAAAAGTACTTGGAATAATCTAAATATATCTGTTCATAGATGAATGGATAAACAAAATTGTATGACATCTGACATTTTCTTTATCTATTCATCCATTGTGATTCTTTCTTTCTTTTTTTTTTTTCTTTCTTTCTTTCTTTTCTTTCATTCATTCTTTCTTTTCATGCTAGGGATCAAGCCCAGGCCTGAGGCAAGAAGCACTACACCACTGAGTGACATCCCCAATTCAATGAATGCCTGCTTAGAAAGGAATTCTTTTCCAAAAAGGAATGAAATTTTAATACATGCTACAACATGGACAAAACTTGAAGACATTATGCCAAGTCAGAAACAAAAGGTCACATTTTATAATTCTTCTTATATCATTATCGACAATAGTCAAATGCATAGAGACAGAACATAGAACAATGGTTAGCAGATCCTAAGAAAGATAAAACTGGGAGTTATTGTTGAATTTTGTACAGCATTTCTGTATGGGATGATAAAAAAAATTCTAGTGGTAGATAGTGATATGGTTGCCAAACAATGTGAAAATACTCTATGTCACTGAACGGTAAACTTATAAATAGTGAATTTCATGTTATATATTTTTACCATAATAAAATGTTATTTAAGAATAACAGAGCAGAGTGGGATGTATAGTAAATTATTTGGGCTATTTATGTATCTCCTGCATTGTTGCCTGATGGTTTTTAACTCTCACATTTTTATTCAGCATTCAGTTTGATACTATCTTTTCAACTTCAGGACAAGGACCATATTGTAATTTGGCTACCCTTCACTTGCCAGTGTATCTTGCACTTAGTTGGGCCCTGTAAATCATTAACCAGTTAATAGAGACTCCAAGTAACCTGTTTTATAATGTGACCTGTGTTTGTACTGCAGTGGAGTAGATCTCAGTGCGTAGTCTGTATGTGGCTGTTAGCATGGAGATTAAGAGCCAGGGTTGGAGTCAGAAAGACCTGGGTTTGAATTTTAGTTTTGCCATTTACTAACCATGTACTACCGGCAAAGTCAGTCAGATAAATAATATCTACTTTTGGATGGTTACTGTAATGATGAAGATGAAATAATCATGGCCCATCCTGGATGCTCAGCAAATGGTAGTTAATAAAACTTAAAAAATTATAAGCAAAACTCCTGCCTTAGCTTCATCACTCTGTGAGTCAGTTTCTGAAACCAGGGTTTGGCTTAAAGCAGGTGCAAAACCGTGCAATACTGAGGATATTTCTGCAACAAAGGACAGTTTCTTAAGACATAACTTCTCAAGAGGATTGTAGGACTTACAATCCTCTGCTTTCCATGCCCAGATGACCCAAATGTACCAGGAGATTTTAAAAACCCCAGAAGAGTCAGAGGGAGTGTCTACTCGATGCACGCACCACACTTAGGTGTGGGTGGCTGTTCAGGGCCCCTAGTGCTGAGGGGGGAGCAATGCTGAGAAAAGTTGGAGCCAAATGCCTGAGCCTTCCTCCAAGAACTGCAGTATATAGAAAGAAGAGCCAAGGCATTACTGGCTCCCACAGCTGTGAAGCAGTGGATCCATGAAGAGCAGGTAGATTGTTTAGAGACTATTTGAAAAACAAAGTGTTTAAAAAATGGTAGCCACTAGGGATGACTTTAAGGGCATCTAGGAACAGGAAGCAGAGTATCATCCCAGTTCATCTCAGAGATGAACCCTTGAGAGCTGAGTTTTCCTATAGCAGGAACCAGAGCTGGGCAGATTAAATATTTCTCTCTCTGATCATTTCAGGGAAACATATTTCAGAGCAGAGCAATGAAGCATCCTCTTAGCCCAGGGAGAGGACAAGTAACCACACTTAAAAGTGTTGGACAGCAGCCGGGCGGGTGGTGCATGCCTGTAATCCCAGCACTCGGGAGGCTGAGGCAGGAGGATCGTTGTGAGTTCGAGACCAGCCTGGGTTACAAAGTGAGCTCAAGGCCAGCCTGAACTGCACAGTGAGACCCTGTCTCATAAAAAGACAAAAAAAAAAAAAAAAAAAAAAAGTGTTGGATAGCAAAAGAGAGTCTCTTGGAATGGGCATTCCAGGAAATCTGTAAGGGGCCTAAAGCAGACAAAATGCAATAATGTATTGGATAAAACCTTAAATTTCAAAGTACCAGCGATAATCCAGAATACAAAGCAGAGAGAGAGTGAGAGGAAGACAGAGAGGGGCGGGCAAGGGGTAGGTGGAGAAGAGATGGAAAGTAAACACTCTAAGAGAACACTTGACATGGAGCAGTCAAAAGCAAATAGAGCTGGGAACCATAATCAGGGTGTTACATAAGGCAGTTATCACCTAGTGGGCAGCCACTGTCCATCATCCCTTGCCACCTGTTGTCATTTCTTTAGACTTCGTGCACCTGCTGGCACAAAAGTATTCTATATTTATCAGTCAGTGCCTCAAACATAGGTAAATTCTGTTTTCTTACCCATAGGAAAAATGTATAATTAATCTTCCAAGGAACTTTACGGTCCCTGTGTATAACATATGAATCTGCATATAACCCACAATGTGAGAAATGTTACCCTTACCTATGTCACTAAGGAATTGCCTTGGGTTCTCATTTATGGTGAGAAATGTGTATAGATATATGCTAGATAGTAGAATATAAAGTAGAATGTACAATGTGTGATTTTGGTTATGAAAAAGTGCTCAGGAAGAAAAGACTAGCAGGATATTCACTGAAGTGTTTATATTTGTTTTCTTCTTCATATTTAACATATATCTACAGTTTCCAAAGTTTTAGAAAACTCTCCCAGAGCTGCAGGAGCTGCTTCTATGTTCTAGGCAACATTAACAGCCTACAATATCTCTCTCTGGGCCAGGAGTGGATAGAAGGTTTGGCAGGTCTATGGGATTGGCAGTGGCCATTTATTACTGTAAATGGTAGCCTTGAAGGCCATGGTAAACAACAGACTCCTAAGAAAAAAGATGAGATATTAATATAGATCATCCTACACTATATTTAAATTTTATAATATAAACAAATAGGTCTGGGGTTTCATAAATGTATTGTTACCGCACATGTCAAATTACCAAAATAACTTAGGTTTTTTGTCTATTGTACATTATTAATTCTAGGTCAACTATCAGTTCAACCCACTATATATTCACTACATACTATTTACAAGGTTGTTTGAAAGTATGCAAAGCCAGACTTTACTGAAAGGGGAAATACACACAGATAAAATAGTATCACAGGTCCCTTCACATAATGTATTCATCAAATGCAATCAGAATGCTATGCGATGCCCATAATAACATTTTATACTTTCTAAATTCTTTGGGGTTAATATGCAGAGTATAAATAAAACAGGTGGGATTTTCTAAGAAGTCAATTGAATATTTGATGACCAAATTCACTGGGTCAATTAAGATTTTCAATGAGCAATATTTTTTTGTACTGTTTAATTTTCAGAGTTATACCTCAAAGAAACTGTAAATGATTATTTGAGGACACTACAAGAAGTTTAACTAACTCTTTGATTTCCTTTTTCTTTTCAATAGATGTGCCCAGATAAATTATTCACCATTGGTTCCATGTCTGTAGATTTTCCTTCTATGTGACACTTAGACTGATATGCTACTAAGATATGCTTGAATCTCCATTTCCAGTTTAAGAACAGTCTGTTGTCTTCCCCAATGCTTCTGTCCGGTGCTAAGGTAAAATGGCCTGTGCATGTCTGTACGTGTGTGTGTGTGTGTGTGTGTATGTGTGTGTCCTGACTCTGCTGCTTGACACACTGTCATGTTGGGTAGGTCACTTCACTTTTCTAATTATCTATTATATAACAGGGCTTAAGTAATTTGAGACAATCTATGTCATCTGTGACTCACTGTTGCTTTCTTTGGTGGAAATTAGAAGCAGCAGTAGTGAGTTTGCTGGGACTTTTTAAAAAGATAATGAAAGTCAGATGCTTCTCCCTCTGTTTTTTCTTTTTTAATTTTTTCTTTCTTTTTTTTTTTTCCTGTACCAAGAATCGAACTCACGACGTTGTGCTTGCCAGGCAGGTGCTGTGCTGCTGAGCTAAATCCCCACCCCCCTCTATCTGTTTTTGGAGCCCTCTGCCCTATCACCTGTTGCACCTCGTGAAGTCTCTCCCCTCTGCCTTTCCTGTTCTTCCCATTTCTCCTGCTCAGCCTGTCCCTACCCTCTGGAGGCGGGAAGAGCTCCAACTCTTCTATTCTGAAGAACAATTTCATTTCCTGCAGCCCTTTTCACAAACTCAGCTTTAGGTTTACCTCTGCAAAACTACACCCATTAAGATACTTAACAGAAGAAAAATACTCAAACTCTGAGTCAGGCATTCCCAAAGTATACTTTACGGGAGAAAAAATAGCAACCTTTACACCACATGGATGAAAGTTGTCAAGCGGATATTGTCAGGGTTATGTAATACTGATTTTTTATGGGCAATCCATGTTTATATATCTGCAAAATAATTTGTAAGTTACTTATTCTAGATAGTCCCTGAATTTTCTAAAGGCATTTTTCATTTAAGAACAATTTTATAAAAAGAACTTATTACTAATAGGTCCTTTTCTGTTAAGTGCATATTGCCTAGATTCCGCAGTATGACCATTGCAAATGGGTTCTTATTGCACCTGGAAACCCAACTGACATCCTCAGTTGTTTAAATCTTGACTCAGCTGGGGCTGGGGATATAGCTCAGTGGCACAAGCACCTGCCTGGCAAGCACAAAGTCCTGAGTTTGATTCCTGGCACCAAAAAATAAAAAGAAATCTTGACTCAACCATATCGGCTTATCTTCAGTCCACTGGTTCAGCAAATATTCATTAAGTCTGTGTGTGCCAGGTGCTGTGCTGCACCTGGAGGATACAGCGGTGAACTGGCCTCATGGAGCTTAGGCTGGAACACATTTTCTTGCTCCCCTGAATTCTGTCACCTCAGACCACTCATCACTCCAGATATGCTTTGTGCTTTCTTTTTTTTTTTTTTTTTCCTCCGGTACCGGGAACCGAACTCACAACCTTGCGCTTGCCAGGCAGGCGCTTTGCCGCTGAGCTAAATCCCCAGCCCCCTATGCTTTGTGCTTTCTTCTCTCTAATCTTGTTCTCTATCTGGAATTTTTTTCCTTTCTTTTTTGTATCTCATTTTCTTTCTTTTCTCTTTTCTTTCTTTCTTTCTTTCTTTTTTTTCTGCGTGTTTTAAAGACACCTGAACTGATTTTACTTTTATTTCCTTCCCTTAAGCCAACCATGAAATTTCACAGTGATTTCTGGGGTAGGGCAGAAGAAAGTTCATGTTCAGGATCAAGGGGGTTGTGAAGTGTGGGCTGAGCCGCTGGGAAAGATGGCTTTGGGGTATGTGGAGGCAACGTTTCTGCCCATAGGCAGGTGGCTTCAGGAGCACAGGAGCTGGTACCCGATGTCCTTCTTCTGTGGGTTGGTGATTGGCTTGGCTGCCTTAGAACTGCCCTTGGCAGAGAGGATGGCTGCCTTCTTCTGCTGCTCAACTTTTCCACCACAAACTGACCCTGTGTGCCACCTGTTGAACCAACTGTGTGCCTTTCAGTGCTTTGGTGAAGTCCTCCCTCGGGTCAGATGCATCAAGAACACATCATCCAGGATGAACCCAAAGGTTGAACCCAAAGGTTACACCTGGCTGGGTAAGGTTCTTCCTCAGCTGCCTGGAGACCAGCATGTTCTCCACTGGAATGTTTTTGTTTCTTCATAGTCTCCTTTGAATTCAAAAGGCCAGAGCACAGTTTTGCTTCATTTAAAAGTTTTCCCAGGTTCTCCCATTCAGCATAATTTCCTTATACTTTAGAGGCCCTCTATATTTTGTTGTAATTTATCATGGTACAGAGGAAAGACCATAAACTTTAAAGTTAAAATGAGTTCAAAGCTTGTTATTGCAACTTATTAAGTATGCAAACTAAAGAAAACCACATAGTTCTTAAAAGAACTCTAGATGCAGTTTAAATTCTGCCAATAAGACAGATTCAAGATATTTCAAAGGGAGAGCAGAAGTTGAGAGCATTCTCCCAGGAAAGATGGATTTGGCAAGTATGCAGTTTTGCACGTCTGGCCAGACTTTGTGCTCCAACAGTAATGCTCAGTCTTGAAGATGCAAACCAGCTCTGACCTACAAGGGTCTCAGAAGTTTCCTGATTTTTGAATAGCAGCAGGAGCAGCAACAACAACATTATAATGTGATAACTAGTGGTGGTCTGCCTGAATTTTATTCCTCCTGAGCACATAAGGACTTGGGAAGTATCAAATTCATTATACTTAATACCTTTCTGTTTGAAATACCCAAAGTGGTTTCTGTTTCCCTTCACTGAACACTAATGATACAGATGTAGAAACTAAGGCCTTGGTAGGCTAAATCACTTGCTCAAGGGTACACAATGTAGTAGTGATAGGTCTATTTAATATCCAAGCCTATACTACTTCCTAACTGTGTGTGTTTCTTAATCACATTTTTCAGACATAGCTGTACTTGCCAAGTAAAACTATTTCACTAATGGTAAAAACATACGTAAAGTTTTTTTAAAAAAACAAAACATATTCACTGGGCATAGGAGCACCCGCCTGTAATCCCGGCACTCAGGAGGCTGAGGCAGAAGGATCACTGTGAGTTCGAGACCAGTCTGGGCTACAAGGTGAGCTCAAGGCCTGCCTGAACTGCATAGTGAGACCCTGTCTCAAAAAGACAAAAAATAAAATAAAATAAAATACAAAACAAAACATAATGCTCATGAAGTAGTACTTGTTATCTGTGGGTACATAGATCTAGTTCAAGTTGCAAGTAAAATAACTTCAATTTAAACTAATTCAATAACAACAAAAAGAAATTTATTGCAATACACACACATAGATCTATGACTGTGAGACCAGGAAAGAGCGGGGTGATGGTCAGATCAGGGCAAAGGGTCTGAATAAACTGAGTAAATGGAAAACCAGGACTTTGAAAACCTGGGATACAAAGGACAAAGAATTAATAGTCTGTTTTTCAGATATTAGAAGCCTAGCAACAACTGCACACCTGCATTCTTGCGCATCCTCTGCCTCTCTCTCTCTCTGCCCTGTTGCCTGTCAAAAAGCTGTATAAGCTTCTAGATTCAGGTGCTTCCTTGGCATCCTCTTTGACTCCCTCATGTAGGGATAGCTTTTCTTTGTTCCTTCTAATGAACTACACCTGGTTCTATCCCCCACTGTCCTTTGGCTTCATTCTCCTGATGCTCTCAGTACAAGAGCCCAGTGAGAGAAAACTGGTTATAATTGCATGACTATAAAGGGTGTAAAGAGCTATACTAAGGGATGATTGATGCAGAGTGTTCTGGGGCTTTCATTTTAACTCCTGCCTCCATATTTCTCTGGTGTCAGTTTCATTTTCTCAGACCAATTTCTGCAGGTGGCAGGGGACATGCCTGTGAGTAGCTGAAATCTACACAGTTAAAAGTTCTATAACTAGAAAGAAAGGCTATTTCTTCCAACAGCTCCAGCTATAGAAAATCTGGGGAAGTACTCTACATGGCACATGTTGTGTCCCACGTCCATCTCTTGGCCAAATACCATGGCTAAGGAGGGCTAAGGAGACAAAGCTACCTAGGAATATGGTGATACCTATTCACATCGTGCGGCCACAGAAGATAGCACTCCCCTAAATGAGTGGAGTAACACAGACAAGGTCAGTGAAAAGCTGTCTCACTGTTTCCCCCCTACTCCACTACTACCTCCTCAGAGTCTTGAATGTAGGTAGTGTATTTAAGAAGCACCCTAGGGAACAGGGTTGAGAAATAAAGTAGGGAAAAAAGCCAAAAATAATGATTTGACAGCCATTTTGCATACCTGGTGATCAGTCCCACCGAGACCTTCTGAGAAGCCAACTTATAAAATACATCTTAAAATTGTTCATCAAGGGAAGAAAAAGGGAAACATGTATCCTTTGGCTTTAACCCATATTAAGACAAGCCTTGCCACTTGACTGTTAACTATCTTTTATTGTCATTTTGTTTATGGGTAGAAGTTCATCACTGAGGAATCTCTTTTCTTTCTTTTACAAAGGTTAAGAGCTAGGGAACAGAAGGGTGATGCCAATTGTCACTATGGGAAAAAACCCTGACCCTCTCGCTTGTTTTTTTTATTTTTATTTTTTTTTTTAATTTTAAAGAGTAAAAGAAGGATAACAATAATAGGGGGGGCTTACCAAATTACAGACAAAGTGGTAGGAAATTATCAATGGTTATTGTTTTACATATTGTTATCTACAAGATAGTTTCTCAGGAAAACAAATAGACAAATAATAGTGAGTTACAGACAAAACAGGTAGGAGATTATCAATAGTT